CAGGTATATTTTAGATAATCCAAAATCATTTTTTGCAGAGATACGCGTGAATTTGATCGCTTATTCCTAACAATATGTGAGATCTCAATGATAAACCAGACTACGATTATGTTTTTTTATAGATGAAGCCCAAATGCAGTCTTTTCCTATTTTACTGGATAGCATTTGAACAAAATATGCAACCTAATATAATTTACCTAATGCAAATAGCTTAAATCCAGAATTAAAATTTTACATTTGATTTCAATAATTTGGGACTCTAGGAAGTTCTCATTTTTTGGGCTTCAGAAAAGATTTTTAACTCATGATGTATAAACTTTTCTCATCTATGTTAAGAAAACCACATACCACATATGGGCAACCGTCATCCTGTTTTGTGTCAATGTTCCAGTTTTATCAGAGCAAATCGTTGAGGTTGATCCCAAGGTCTCTACAGCCTCCAAATTCTTTACCAAGCAGTTCTTGCTCGCCATCCTTTTCGCTGTCAGGGTTAGACATACGGTTACGGTAGCGATCAGACCTTCAGGTACGTTGGCGACAATTATACCTGAATCAATAGTTACAGAAAATGAATTGCTGATTGGTATTGGATAAACTGCTTACCGATCAGAAATACAACAGCAGTCAGCCAGTGATATCCTAGGATGAAAGCAATGATGAAGAAGGAAACTCCGAGGAACACAGCTACTCCAGTGATCAAATGAATGAAATGCTCAATTTCGCGAGCAATAGGTGTCATTCCAGTATCGAGTCCAGAAGCCAGGTGAGCGATTCGACCCATAACCTTTACCACATACGTCAATTTCTAAGTGGAAAGCCAAGGTCTTTCATGGGAACTTACAGTTCTATCTCCGGTACAAATGACAATACCCTTTGCGGTGCCCTCAACAGCATTTGTAGAGAAAAAGGCGATGTTACGAGTTTCCAGAGGGTTTTCATTCGTGCACTCCGGTGATCGCGATTGTGGTTCAGACTCTCCAGTTAGAGAGGAGTTGTCAACCTGAATCACTCTTTTGCGGTACTTGCGTGAAGAGCCAGTAGGTAAACAAGAATTAGGCTTTTTTAAAGCTTGGAGCTTCCTTAACTACATACTTACCCAGCAATGACGACCGCAAAAATACCAAAATTGGCGTGTAAGGGGCGTGGCGTAAGCAGTGCTAAGCCACGCCTCTTCTCGGGATTTTTTGCGGAATGTAAACAAATTTTACTTAATTTTGCAAAAATTCATAAATAATTTAGCATAACTTATTGAAATAAGACATCCGTTAATATTGTGACCCCGAAAATATCTGAATATTTACCTTAAAACCAAAGGCAGTGATAATGCGGATATCAGCTGGTACACGATCTCCACCTTTCACTTCTATAATATCGCCAACCACAAGGTCTTCAGTCCGAATTTGTTGCTTTTGACCATCGCGATGTACGAGGGCGAACTAAGAATTTAAAGTATTCAACGGGAGTTAGCCAATCACGCTATCAAAGTTTTGAGCGACTTACAGTAGGGACCATGCTCTTAAAGGATTCCATAATCTTGCTGGATTTGCTTTCCTGATAGTATTGGAAGCAACCGGTAATTACGACAACAGTCATCAATACAATACCAAGATACAGCTGAAACAATGAATAACTTTGACACCT